ATATTGTGTTAATAATCCTTGCATTTGATATATAGCACCTTATCACGTTGTCACGACATCTCAAAGCGCTTCACAGAATAGTCGCGGCCGCCAATTGTGCATAGTTGTGGAGTGAATCATCAAATTATTATATTTATTTTTTGGAGGGATTATTACCAATGGAAAGCGATCCACCAATTGACTAACAACCGGGTTCCTACTTACTGCTAGGTACAGAGGTGTGTGGAGTAAGGATATTTGCCTAAGGTTTCGCCATGTCTGGGAATCAAACCCAGGTCCACTTGCTTGCGAGACTGCACGAGCCACTATGCTACATCACTCCCTGTTTTTATCGCTTTGGTGATGATCTAATGTCTGAAGTAGACAAGAGCTTGCTGGTGTCATTGTTTTTGTATAAACTAGAACATTTCTCCAACATATCTTTTTAATCTGTTTGCATTTTGGTTTAAAATTTCCTGGTCATGTCTTGTCAATGAATAACAAGAATTGATCAAATCAACTAGAGATCAACAATTTAAGGTTTATTTTCAATGTCTTTCTTCAGTTTATGCCTTTCAGAGTAAAAGGCAGAATAAAGGCTTCAACACATGGGGTTCATATTAATGTGGCCATTGCTCCAAATTTTCAGATTAATGTCACTTGTCAATTCCACACCAAGATGCAAGAATTGGTGCCTTGTTCTGGTCCTTGTATTAGGCACAATTTTAATAAATTTAACATTTTAACCCCATTGTTTATTACACAACAGTACACATTAATATCAATTGAGGTGTGGATCCTTTAATGTCCTGGAGAATAGGGGTGTCAAAACTCTGTAGGTGTTCACATAATATTCTCTTTTCACAACTTCCTTTTTTATAGCATCCTTCCAATAATTTCTTGGAAGAGGGATAGGATCAAATGCCCGCAATGATGAGGCGGTGACTATAGATGTGGTTGAAGAGATAAGATTTTTATTCGGGAATTAAAGATGGACGAAGAAGCAAGATTGAGAGGTAGATGGGAGTTCCAGAGGTTAGGGGCATAGTAGCTGTTTAGTAAAAGGGTGAAAGGCATGTGTAACAAATGCGTAGTACAGGGAGTGGGAAGAAGCAAATATAAAAAGTGTCAGAAGAAACCAGACAAATTCATGGACATTAAAAGAATTCAGAGTTGAAAGAGTCTTTTGGGAAGTTGGATGAGTAACCTAGATGGCTCATTGGTATGGGAATCCAACAAATGTGTGCTCACTACTTGTATGAACTGTATATGCACATCTATGTCAAATTAACACACAAATGATGGGTTGTACAAAGGTTGTAGATAAAACATATCAAAAGTTGTTTTGTTTCAGATTTCCAGCATCTGTGGTATTTTGTGTTTTTTTAAGAGTTGTTTAGGTGCTTCAAACTTGGGTTTAAAGGCCTGTAGTTTGGATGAGGAAGGGAAGACTGAGGGAAGTAAAGAATTCAATGATCTCAAGATCCTAGGAAAGAATGAGTTTGAGAGGAAACTGTGAAGTTTGATTTTGAACAAGGATACAGGGAGAAGGAACAATTATGTTTGATTGGCAACATTTCACAGGATTCCTTAAGGAAATGGAAAATCCAGTAACTATCCACTCCCACTGTTTCTTGTCCTTTAACTCTGTTATTTCATCAAAAATCTCAGAATTGTTAAGCAAAGCTTGCCTTTAAAATAATAGTATTTCAGTAAATCCAAACCTTGAGTGCAATTTTATTACTATAACCTAAAATAAATATGAAAAATAATTAAATATAGGTGTTTGTACTTGTCCTATTCTCTTTCCTTTCAATTCTGGACTTCTGTTCTTTATCCTCCAGATACAATTGTTCATTCAACTCAGGGCTGTTTGTGGGATTGGCTGCCACATTCATCCACAAGTAGTCATCACACAAAACAAATTTTCCTAATCCAGATGGTGGTTTTCTATGAGTAGTTCACTACTACACAGACGTGGTTATGCCTCTGAAAGAAATTTGCTGAAAATAACTTACGCATTTCACCCCACTGTTAAAAATCAGCTTGCTCTTAGAAGAAACCTATATTGCCTGAAGAGAGCAATTAACACTGAGAGCTATAATGGCCAACCCAACACAGACACACAGTGCTCAGTGGCTGGAGACGTATATTATTGGGCATACAGTCTTAAATAGAAATAACAATTATAGGTTGAATTCACCAAGAAATCTCCAAACCTGGAGAGTACAGCCCCTTATTTGAACAACAAGATTTCATTTATAGAACGCCTTTCACGTCGGCAGGACGTCCCAAGGCACTGGACAGTTGGGTCGGGACCCGAGCAGGGGGGAAATGGTCAGGGTGAGCGGAGGGAAGGGAGTGAACGAGGAGGGGGTAGAGAGTCGAGAGAGGAGCTGAAGGCACGGTCGAAGAGAAAGCTCTTGAGACCGGCCTTGAAGAAGGGAGGAAGCGGCGAAGGCACTGGGGGATGGAGTTCCAGAACCTAGGGGCTGAGAGGCTGAAGGCCCGGCCACCGATGGTAGGGCGGTTAGGACGAGGGATGTGGATCAGACCGGAGCCAGAGTTCTACGCAGAAAAAGATGCAGTTCCAGGCTGCAAGGAAACTGCAACAGGGAAAATTTAATCCAATGCACAAAATTTCCAAATGAAACAAAGTTTATATACACTGAATGTATCATGCATTATTAGAATAAAAAATAGGTGCAAAAAATCACTTTGATTGATTCCAGTGTATCTATATTCACAAGGCACAAATTAGGCTACTTACAGAATGTGGGTCTAGAATATTTCTACTTCATGCTCTGATTTTCAAGGGAAGACGTTAAGTTATTGAAAATGTACAGCAGGTTACCACTGTTGCATTATTCATTTTGCCGATGAATGCCTGACTTCTTATAAAACTAATTAGCCGACACTTCTTGGACTTGTACTCAAAAGTTCGACAAGTCCCTTTAAAGTCATTCCAAAAATTGCAAGTACAAAGTCATTTTTACCTCATTGTTATAAACAGTAGAGACCACCTAATTATATAAAGTACAGCCTCAATATTCAGTCCACTTCCCCAAGGCAAATGCAACAGAAGACCAAGCTAATGTGAAGCAAATTCCATGCGAGGCTAAATAGCAATTTGCTACAAGATATTGTAATTTCCAATCACAAGCTAAAGTTTGAAAACAATACACACCATTCCTTTGCATTAAAGTGCTGTTACTTTTAACTTTTCTGCACAAACGGCTGAAATGCATTCATTATGCCCTTTCTCAAATATCTGTTTATGGAACTACAATTTGACATTCAGACACTAGGCAACAAAATATTGAACAGAAGATTAAGTCTGGGAGCAGTCCTAAGTTCAATTAAAAACATGCAACTGTCAATTAAAACAAATCAGGGTAGATTCAGATAATGCAAGAGTAGAAACTCATTAAGAGCAGGCAATGGACTGCCTACTAATGTCCCTTATTAAGATGCCCACATAAGAGTTGGGGATTTTGCTCACAATCAGGTTCATGCAATTGTGTTTAATATGTTCATTACTTAGAAATTTCTCAATATGCTTCATGGAAACTTCTTTCAGAAAGTATCATGGAAACTTTAAAAGTTACCTGAATAGCCAGACAGGATCTTGATTTAGTCTCACCTTAAGAGCAGCATGTCCAACAATGCAGGAATCCATTGGAATTTTAGCCTAACCTACAAATTTACATCCTCGATGTAGGGCTTGAATCTACCTTTCAACTTGATAATAGGGATAACAAATGAATCAGACCAATAGCAGATGTATCTAGAACTTGAAAAAGTAGCCTGAATACCAATTTATCCTCACAACTGAAGTGTCCACGAGTTGGAAGTTTTCTTGTACGTTGAAGGGAATCTTGTGGGACATTTGATGTCTAAATGGTCTACTCCTGCATGAAATACCTGTTATTCCCATGTCCTGAGAAGCCACGCGCTCCAAGGAGAGAAATGGAATTTAAAGGGAGAATAGTGTGAAACATAAAACACTGGGCAGCATCCAAGCACTAAACAGCACAATTTCATGCCAGGCTGGGGAGGTGACAGTAGGCAGTTAGAGGAGTGTTCAGCTACGATCTGAAACGAGTCTGAGTGATTGAGAGCGAGAATATGAGATTTGGGTTACTCATGGCTAAAGGTGCAGCCACCAATGTAAGCCAAGGGACTCATAGAAAGCGTGAGCTGGGGGAAGAGAAGCTGGTTGGAGAGGAAGGATGGTTCTATGCCAAAATGATTTGTAGGCAAATGTGAGGATTTTGAAATCATTTCATTCTGTAGCAGGAAGGCAATGGAGCCTGGTGTGGACAGGTTGATGGGGGTGTTGGTGATCTGTCACTTACAAAAGGCACTATGAATTTTATTATAAGGAAAATAAAGGAGGAAAAATTAAGTGCTGAACAAAATCAAAATTATACTTATTTTGGTTGGAAAAGCTGTCAGGAAAGAAGCAACTAGGTTCTGAAAGAGTAGCAAGTAGTATCTAGCACCTTGGCCACCAATAGTGGATCTGAAGAAAAACTTCAAACCAGCATAGTGATAGATATCTCAATTACCAAGCCCTTCACTGAAGCAATGCACAAAACAACCTGACTACTCACATATAGGACCTTATGATCAGTAATCAGCACATTTTGTAATCAAAAAGCTTGTAAAATATTTTAAAAAGTAAAATAAATGGCAATATCACTCTAAATACGACACAGGCAACACTAATTATTACAACAGATCCCAAAGTCAGTATGACAACCTGGCAGTTTGTAGGAGGAATGACATTCCAGTACTAGGAATTGGGTGCATAGAAGGTAGATTTACCCTAGATGTAATATTTCTAAATCACTTTTGGTCAGCAGATCCTCCTGAAAATAATTTTCTCCTTGGAGATCAGTGAGATAATTGGCAATGATTGCGAGATAAACTGGCGCACAGCATATATTGATAGCAAATTTACATTAAGAAGTCAATTATAATCAGATTCATTATTCAATCCAAATTGACTGCACTCCGAATACATAGCTGGTTTTATTGGTTAGTCTTATACAACATACATGGTTTAATACAAACAATACTTCAGAAGAAAATTTAAGAACAATTAGCACTAAAACATTTCCATTGGAAATGTTCTAAATACACATGCTTATTCATTCCATTTACCATCTTATAGTAGATTCCATATGAGTTACGAGCCTAAAGAGCACACATCTTCTGTAGCCATGCATATAGGAGTTAAATTCTGAAGATCCAATCACATGGGAAGTCCATTCTCTGCAGCAAATCATTTTCTGCATAGTATATATTTAGCTAACAAATGTAAAAAGAACCAGCCCTGCAACAAGAAATTTCACGAGTTTGTAAGCACATCCTTCAGAAGCCGTGAACCTTCAGCTGCTCCTCCTTGACAATGCCAACCTACAAACAAAAATAAATCAAATTAGAGCCAATACACACTTGACCCATAACCCCCAAAAATTCAAGGAGTAAATGGTTAAAAATAAATCACTTGCCTCATTTAAATATACTCAGCATTCAAATGTCACCCCAGAATGCAATTATACATTGAGTTATACTATTGCTTTCACATTGATCTTAGATATCTGGAAAATCAATCCTAGTATGGCACTTTAGGTGTGGGATGCTAATTTGTTGCAAGGAAGGAAATTTGGTCTGTGAATCTGCACACCTTTCTAAAACGTAATGAATTCTATTCTTTGTTTGACCCTTTTGACAGGATCAAATCCATTGATTTAGGCTCATTGGTTTTGTCTGAATATGCCTGTATGAAATGTTACATTGTTTTATTCTGTTTATCACATGTTTTGTTGGCTAAATAGTTTTAAAACAACCATTATTCTGTTAATTTCTGGAATGCAACAAAGATTACAAAAGGCCTTCCACTTTCTGAAAGACAGGTTCTCAAACCAGATCAGTGTGCATGTTGGTCTAGATCCATCTGAGACACACAATTGCAACAGTCAACTGGCTGTCACAATTTTACAGAACCAAGAAACAAAAAAAGCTAGATATTTCTGTGAAAATGGGATGAACTCTTCAATGAGTAGCATCTAAAGAGGGATGAAAGGTTTGTAAAAGCCCACTCTCTAATACATCAAAAGTTCAAGTCACATCCAAGTTATAAACATTTTCAGTTGGAACTTTTTCCTACATGTGCTTCAATTACAGAAATCTTTAGCAGGACTTCAGACTACATATTGGACGAGGTTTAAATATCCAAAAGTTAAAATGACATTCATGTAGATATCTTAAAAGTTCTTGAACTTGTCTTGGAACAGTATAGCCCTGCAGGATGCAAGCCTCAAATTAGTGCAGAATGGTTTGGATTAGAAATTAATTTGGATTATGTAACCGGTGTGGCTCATACCATCTAATTACATTTCCTGTGCAAACTGAATCTGGCAGATTCTTTTCAAAGAAATTAAATACAATAGGATCAGATATTGTTAAATAAACCAAATTCACAGTATTCAACCAGTGGCCAAAAAATGGATTGCCTAAGTTTAATAACGGCCTTAAATCTAGAAATGTTTTAAACTATAAATAAGAATCCTATCCAGCAGTTCATTTTCAATAGCAGCACCATTTAACCAAACTGAAAACCAGCGAGAAAGATTTCCTGCTCAAGTTTTCACAAGTTTAAGACCTAGGACTTCTGCTGAAATGTACTTTATAAACATACATCTGAATTTATGTGCATTAAATTTTATAAGTAAACGCTTCCATCATTAATTCTTCAACACAGCCTTCGCTAGTATCAACATCGGACAGGCAGGTTATGCGCAAAGTTAAAGCTGTTCTAGCTATGGATGAATTTTCTAAAAACTTAATTTTAAATAAGATGGTCTTTTTTTTACCTCTAGGAGAAATTGGCAGATATTCTTTCGTTGGTCACCTTGAAGCTGGATTACCTCACCGTATTCTGAATGTTCAATCACAGTACCATTGCAGGCAAATTTCTGTATATTAAAAAAGAACAATGTAGCATTTCTTACACAATAAATGCAAATCCAATTTAGAAATGATCCAAATATGAACTTTGCAGAATTTTCAGATACTGAACTGCTGAGAGAATGCAACATCTAATCTTACTTTCAACAGCATCACCATCTTATTCAGTCCCAATGATTGAACAGTTGCACATTGTAGAAACAAGACTCAACACATAACTAAGCATTTCATAAATTAGTTGGGTAAGAATATAAGAAATGGTAGACAAAAAAAAGACCAAGGTCTATCTAGATTGCCTTCCACCTTCCTGGCAATTGTATTGCCTATAAATGTGCAATTTAATTTTTTTGGTCAGCCCCATTGCCATGTTTAGGGAGTATCCAACCCAACTGCCAAGAGATCCACACCCAGTCCCTTGGGATGCCTTTCTGACGTGAAAGGCTGGAATATAAATGTAATTTTTTTTATTGTTGTTGCAGTCCTCCAGAATACTGATGATGGACTTCGCTCAATGGCAGGACTTGAAGGGTAAGACCACTCATTTGGAGTGAGAATTTGTCCGATTGGATCTTTAATTCTGCAAGCCCAAAATGTAATGGGGTAGTTCTAGCTGGACAGCTGGAAGACTGTGCCCTCAATGGCAAGTTATGAGTGTTCATTATCTAATTTGTTTTTGAAACAAATGACATTTTCTGCTTCTACTGTGTCCCTAGGGAGCCTGTTCCATAAGTTTACTACTCGCTCACTGAAGTTAATAAGTGCGGAGTGGGAGGAATCTCTGCCTCCAGTGACTGGTCTGCCCTTCCAAGCCTTGCCAATGAGTTAGACTGGCTATGCTGTCATTAGCAGTGCCATGGAGTACTGCAGACCTGCATAGTTCAGGAACTCGAGTAACGAGATCACCAGAGGGCTGGTTCGATTCCGGCATTCCACTGCCAAACATGTAGCCTCCCACAAAAATTACCTGGATAGTACTTTCAGATTTTGTGATAATAGATTCTGCATCCAAATATAAAGGTTATTGATACCAAATAGAAATACAATACACTTTTACAAGTCAAATTTTGGAATGCAACCTCCAATTTATGACCAACTGTTGGTGTGGTTGGGGGCAAACGTGTTCAGAAAAAAATGTCGGAACAAAGTCAATCATCTCTGGTGGTCTAGGTGGCTCATTTTCTGATCCAGGAAGGTCCACAGAACTTCCAAGCCACTGCTGATGATAGGCTCGGTAGCATTCACACATTTGGCATCCACCTTGATTGATTTGAAGAAGGGTAATGTATGAATGGTTGTTCACAAACTTGGATTCCAGGCAAAGCCTGCCAGCAGCTGTTGCCCAGAGCCTCAAAGTTTCCTCATTAGCTATCTGACATACACCTTCAATGTGGTGGGAAGACCTTTACAGAACAGCATGTGACATGTCAGCCACCTTGATTTTCTCAGGGCCCAAGTCCAATACTGCCTACCAGGCTTACTCAGCATCTGCTTGATCCGAGCCTCGTGTGAGGGGCTTTGGCATATAGATATGCCCACTGTGAATTAGATTCCATCTCCAGGGTGCTCAGTATAGGCCGGAACCCTCCTTCCACTTATGCCACAAATCCACCTCACTGCTTGCAAATGTGCCAGACAGTGCTTTCAATTCAATCAATGCGATTTTAGCTGGTTAAACTCCAGCCTGGGGTCTCCAAATCCTGCCTCTTGCCGATCTGCATCTAGTAATCTACAAGATTAGGTAAGAAATTTGTTTCTCTCTAGGGAGAGTGTGCAATCCATACAGATATGGGAATTTTCATGTGTAGGTGGCATGTATTAAACAGTCTAGTTTGGACACCTTTAAGCATGGTGGTGGATTTACAAATGTCAGATACCTGCCCAAAAAATCACCTCCAATTTATGTAATAATGCATTTAATTAAAACATTCCAGTAAACATACCTTCTTGAAGGCTTTCACAAGTTTCTTTTTATCATAATCATCAGAAATGCCCTGAACAGTGGTCAGTGTCTTCCTGCCGTTACGCTGCTGAATTCTTATATGGATGTAATCGTCAGTCCCTGCTGGGAGTTGATCGTCGCCCTTAATTGCATCAGCAAAGGGGTCTGTAACAAGTTTAAAACCATTTCATGAAACATAAAATATGCATCCTTCATTTTTGAAATGCAAACTCCCAACAGGAAGCTGCATTTCTGTCAAAATTAGGAATTACAATAACACTTTACATTGATATTGCACCTTTTACGTCAGGAAGACATCTCAATGTTTCATACAGCTGTGTGGCGGCGGTAGAAGAGAAGGAAGAAAGAATAAAAAGGTGACCAACACGCAGTTGAAGGTTTTGAGGCAGGGCGGGGACAAAGTGAAAGGATTCTTCCAGACAGTGAAGACAGAAAGCTCAGCCACTCCTGCTAACAGTAACCCACAGGGAAAGTAACTAAGGAGATTCCAAAATTATTATGCGTCACTTGAAGCGATAAGAGCTACATTATAGCTGTGTATTACAGAGAGAGCAAGAGAGGAAATATATAATTGACTTTACAGTGTATTCTGTGAAGCGCTTTGAGACGTCCCAACAATGTGATAAGGCACTATAATCAAATGCGAGGATTATTATTACTGTTATAAGTCCCCGGGTCTCACTATCTCCCCCCCCCCGCCCATTCTCACTCTCTCCCCGGGTCTCTCCCCAGGTCTCCCCCCCCCTTCACGCTTTTCCCACTCCACTCCCCGGCCCCCCCACCCCAGCTCTCTCCTCCCCCCCCCCCCCACCCCAGCTCTCTCTCTCCCCGGCCCCCCCCCCCCCAGCTCTCTCCCCCCCCCCCCCAGCTCTCTCCCCCCCCCCCCCAGCTCTCTCTCCCCCCCCCCCCCCCCCCCCCCACCCACCTCTCCCCCCCCACCCCAGCTCTCTCCCTCCCCCCCCCCAGCTCTCTCCCTCCCCCCACCCCAGCTCTCCTCCCCCCCCCCCCCCCCCCCCCCACCCCAGCTCTCTCCTCCCCGCCCCCCCCCCACCCCAGCTCTCTCCCTCCCCCCACCCCAGTTCTCTCTCTCCCCCCCCCCCCCCAGCTCTCTCCCCCCCCACCCCAGCTCTCTCCCTCCCCCCCACCCCAGCTCTCTCCCTCCCCCCCCACCCCAGCTCTCTCCCCCCCCCCACCCAGCCTCTCCCCCCCCACCCCAGCTCTCTCCCCCCCACCCCAGCTCTCTCCCCCCCCCCACCCCAGCTCTCTCCCTCCCCCCCCCCAGCTCTCCCCTCCCCCCACCCCAGCTCTCTCCCCCCCCCCCCCCCCCCCCCCCACCCCAGCTCTCTCCCCCCCCCCCCACCCCAGCTCTCTCCCTCCCCCCCCACCCAGCTCTCTCCTCCCCCCCCACCCCAGCTCTCTCCCTCCCCCCCACCCCAGCTCTCTCCCTCCCCCCCACCCCAGCTCTCTCCCTCCCCCCACCCCAGCTCTCTCCCTCCCCCCACCCCAGCTCTCTCCCTCCCCCCACCCCAGCTCTCTCCCTCCCCCCACCCCAGCTCTCTCCCTCCCCCCACCCCAGCTCTCTCCCCCCCCCCACCCCAGCTCTCTCCCTCCCCCCCACCCCAGCTCTCTCCCTCCCCCCCACCCCAGCTCTCTCCCCTCCCCCCCACCCCAGCTCTCTCCCCCCCCCACCCCAGCTCTCTCCCCCCCCCCACCCCAGCTCTCTCCCCCCCCCCACCCCAGCTCTCTCCCCCCCCCCCCACCCCCTCTCCCCCCCCCCCCCACCCCAGCTCTCTCCCCCCCCCCACCCCACCTCTCCCCCCCCCCCCCCTCTCCCCCCCCCACCCAGCTCTCTCCCCCCCCCCACCCCAGCTCTCTCCCCCCCCCACCCCAGCTCTCTCCCTCCCCGCCCCCACCCAGCTCTCTCCCTCCCCGCCCCCACCCAGCTCTCTCCCTCCCCGGCGCCATGTTGTTTTCAGGCATTTGAACAAAGCCTCGAGCGGAAATTCAAAACTCAACCGAAACCCCCGAGAGACGGGGCCATGGCGGCGGGAGCGGGGCGGCAGGGGGTGGGGAGGGGAATAGAGAGAGAGAGAGATAGAGAGAGAGAGCGCCAGAGAAAGACTGTTGATTTTCAGCTGCTGAGGTGGAGGGAGCCGCCCGTTAGCCTCGGGCCGGAAAACATGGTGGGGGTGGGGGAGGGGGGGGGAGAGAGCAGACAGGAGCAGCGCCTGAGGCTTTTTTCTAACGCCAAGGCGGACTCACCATGATATTCGAGGTTCTGAATAGTGGACATGCGATATCAGTGGACCGCCTTAGTGACAATGAAACGAGTGTGGGCTCGGTCGAATCGTCGATCAGTTTCTCGGTTCTTTTTCAGGTTCCGTCGTCGACGCAATTGGGAACAAAATGGCCGAGGAGCGCCGATTTACCCCCCCCTCAGGGGAGGGGCGGGAGGCGGGAGGCGGGCGGCTGGCGCCGAGCACGCCGGGAGTTGTAGTCCGCCTCCCCGGGGCCCGTAATCCAAGCGGGCGCGGGCGCGGGCGGCTGAACTACCGCGGCCCAGGGGGCATTGCGGCGCGGTGCGTGTACATGTCGTCACGTCCCGGTCCCTGATTCCCAAGGTCGTGGTGCAGGGGGGGAGGGGGGGGGGAGCTGTCAATCAACCGCAGCAACGATCAGGGCGAGGCCGACAGACACAGACAGACAGACAGAGAGAGACACTTCTCTGCAGAGAAAATGTTGACACTTTCTCGAGCGTTACTCCTCGGATGGACGCGGTTTCACTCGGTTGGAGTCGATGCGCGCTTGTTTATTTTGCAGCTACTCATTGCTCTCTGTGTCTGCACCGGGTTTAACTGCGACCAGCGGCCCTGTTTTGCTCTGCACCGCAATGCTGAGTTTTTTTTCAAAACAAAAAAAAAGACAACCTCGACTGAGTTGCCCCAAAATAGTGGAGAGAAAGAGAGAGAGAGAGAGAGAGATGCCAGGCTTTGCAAGCTGATCTTTTCGATTAAACAGTGCAGTGTGTGTTGTGTGTTTTGCCCCCATGACGTTTCTTCCCTGTGGCCAGTAATGCTCCGCACAAATCGGACACTGCGGTTCACTTCATGGCTGATCTGCTCGTGGGTCTTTGCTGTGCATAAAATGGCTGCCAGCATCTTGCTTCCAAATGCAAAGTCATTGCACTTAAAAAAGTGCTTCAAGGCATTTTGAAATCATAGGCACTATACTTAATTATATAAATTATACCACCCCATAGTTCCTGCGTGAGGTTCGGAAGCGCCCATCCGCCAATTGATTTATTTGAGCCCTCGATGCAAATGCGCACAAAAACCTGGAGACGCACAAGAATGTGGTGCTCCACTGACATTATCTTGGCAATTAATGGAAAAATGCCTCAATGTGCTTTCACAGACCCATTTTGTTAAAGGTGCTGGTTCATGGCAAATTTGGTTAGTTTTAAATAACCGGCAGCAGTTATTTTAAGAAATGATTCGGATTCAAAAATATTGCAGACCGTTCTGCTTATTATTTAATGTACTTTGTCCAAGTCATAGACCTTCAGCTCTGTTGTGTCTAGTTTAATCGGAATAAACTGCACCATGGCTGGGCGAAACCTTGGCAAGTTACCTTACTCCACACGCCTGATAGTAATCCCTCAAGAAAAAATAAAATAATTGGTCAATCAATCCACGACTGTTTATGGGACACTGCTGGGTGCAATTGGCTGCCACGATTTGCCCACAAATATACAGTCTATTCACTTTACAGTATATTCTGGGAAACGCTTTGAGACGTTTAGAAGATGTGAAAAGCGCTATCTCAAATTCAGGGATTATTATATCAAATGCAGGGATTGTTTAAAGTGAGAAAATTATGTATTGCAAACACTGGAAAAGCTTTTATTAAAAATTTCTGACATTAGGGGTTTGTTTTAGTTTTGGTCAGCCGTTTTTCATGACACGCAAGGAAACCCATCCCCATTCTTAAAACTTATCTAGAAACCAGACTGCAAATTCTAATATATGTATGTGGCTTATACGTGCAAATTTCTCATTTGTCTGCTAGAGAAAATACTCCCTTTACCAGAGGGACAATTCTGGAATTTATTAGGAGGTTGGTGGAAGCCAAGGCTGGTCCCGGGACGCTGGAGTGAGCATTAGAATCCAGCTGGAGCCGAGTGAGAAGAATCCATACTCTCAGTGACTAGTTCTGCCCCTCCATTGGCTATTATTAATACTGACAAGCATGTAACAGTCGTTTTCAATTACAGTAGATTATGTGATGGTCCAATCTTAAAAACTCAGTATGAACAATAACAAGTTGCATTTATATAGCTCCCCTCCATGCAGGGAAGCATCCCAGAGAGCAGTATCACACCACTGAATCTACACCATCATAACGCTTCACTATAAGAACTTGTTCACTGCGGATTTGTGCAGCTGACCTGCGCACTTCCCACAAACTTGTGCTAAATTATTAGCTCCTGTGCATATTTTATCCAGCTCTCTTGTAAGACCATGGCTGTTTCCTCTGATTCTACAATTCTTCCCAATTTGATGTCTTCATCAAATTTAATTATATTCTACTGAGTCTGCAAATTCAGGTCAATAATGTATGCAAGGAACAACAACAACAAAATTACAAGGCGTTGGACAGACAGAATTAGGGACCCGAGCTGAGGGTCGGGGTGGGGGAGCGTGGAGGGCAGGGGGGAAGCAGGGAGATCAAAGGTACAGTCAAAGAAGAGGTGGGTCTTGAAGGTGGCAAGGGAGGTCCAGAGGGTGGGTGCAGAGTGGCGGAAGGCCCGCCCGCCGATAATGAGGCGAGCAAGGCTGGGTACGTGAAGCAGGCTGGAGCGAACAGGGTGGTAGAGGTTTAGGAGGTCGGAGAGGTAGGGGGAGCAAGACTGGAGTGCTTTGAAGGTGAGGACCAGGATCTTGAACTGTATCCTCTGTGTGATGGGAAGCCAGCGGAGTTGGGCGAGGATGGGGGTGAAAGGATCGTGGAGCCTAGTGTGTGAGAGAACACAGGCTGCAGAGTTCTGGATGATCTACAGCCGGTGGAGGGAGGAGTTGGGGAGGCCGACAAGCAGTGAATTTTTGCATAGTCGAGGGTTTCGGCGGCCTGCGGTGTGAGACAGTGTCAGAGCCAGGCACCACTGTGGTCTCATTTTAGACCACTGAGGTACCCCACTTAATACCTCCCCTCATTTTAACCTAGCTCCCCGAACAACTGTTGCTTCCTCCTCCATAGTCAATTTTCAGTCCATATCTTGCCCAACAACATAGCTGATGAAGAAATCTTTCATATGGTACTTTGTCAAATGCCTTTTTAAAATCTATGGTACACAATGTCAACGACTTCCATTTATAAAACCCCTTCACGTGGGGCAGCGTCTTGGAGCGCATGTCATATGGCTTCCTAAAGTTAATTTCGGATGTTACTTCCTCGAAAAGTATGGAGTTCACTATTGTCGGAGGATGAGCTATGATCACCATTTAGATAAATTAGGCTTCTTCAGCTTGTAAAGAGACATATTAGATGGGATTTTATAGAAGAGGTATACAAGATTCTAAATGGGGTTAAAAAGTAAATCCAGACCAATACACAAGAGGGAAGCAGATCAAAAGGGTGCAGATTGAGGCTTGTAAAGGGTAATTTGAGGACAATCAGGAAGGATTTCTTCACATAGAGACAGATTAACAGTAAGGGTGGTTTAGGCCTGGACACCACTCATTTAAGAAACAGCTTGTTGCTGCAACGAGAAATCATTAGGGTGGGTAATTAAAAAGATGAGATTAAATGGTCTAAAGACCCCTAGGAACTAAACGTTCTTTGTGATCTGGTGAGTAGTGAGGATCTAATAGTGAGGAGGAAGAGCATATGAGATTATGTATTTGAACTTTATATTGTCTGCATTTTTTTATTTCTGAGGAATTATTGATAGAGTTAAGACAATAATTTGACTAAAAAAGTTGTTCAGTTTGCCAATGTTTTTCATTTAGGATGATAGGTCTGCATAATTTAAATTTCAGAGAGTATTTTTATTATGTATCTTGGATGGTCTTAGGCTTGGTTTCAAATTTCTCATAATATTGCCATGAGATTCTATTTCTAGCTGACCTTGTGTACCCATAAACTAGAATGTTTTCCTCCTGGTCCAATGGCACTTGATCCACGATTCCTGATTTAGGCATCCTAGTTAGCCAACAATCCCCCAAATAAAATTGGTAATTTGACATCATGGCTGTTTGTGGGACATTGCTGTAATCAATTTGGCTGCCTTGTTCACCTACAAAAATAGACTTTACGGTATATCCTGTGAAGCACTTTGAGATGTCCTCTCGAGCCAAACGGCACTATATCAAATTTAAGGATTATTAATAGTAGTTTCTTTCAACTGGGAAATAAAATGTTCATTTAAAAGGCTGTTCCAGGGATTTTTTGTTTGTTCACTTTCTTGCAATTTTATTATATCTGATAGCTGCTTTTATAATCTGATTGACGATTGGGTCAAATTTGTTCCAATTTCCTTGGAAATGTTTGTTTATTTAATATCCTCCTTCTTGGCCCATCTGTCTTGAAGTCCCACTATGTCAGCCATTATGCCCCGAATCTCTGGAACTCCTTGCCTCAATTTACAGTCTTGCCCCCTTAGCCCATCTTCAAATCACACGTGAAGACTTTCTTCTTTGACCTTGCCTTCGTTCACCTTCCCTCCCGGCCTTTCAGCTCAACATCAAGCCACACCGCTGTTAAGTGCTCTGAGATACTTCCTACGTGTAGGGAACTATATAAATACAGGTTATTCGCCTTAAATCCAACCTTTTTGAACGTGCTTATCGCCTCTCCCCTCTTCCTTGCTCGATGTCCAACTCCAACCTTGTGAAGTGCTCAAAGACATTCCCCCATGTGAAGGGTGCTATATAAATGCAAGTTGTTTAACAATCACCCTACCTTCCTCCCATCCATTCCTCCCACTATATTAAAGCTATTTCTTAAAATCAGTTGTAGAAGTGAATCTGATGAAAAGTAGTTGGAGATAAAAGTAGATCCCGTATCAGTAAACAAGAATGTGGATCCTGAGGAAAGAGACTCAACTCTCGTAATAATCCCTGCTATAAAATGGTGGGTATGACTGTATGACAGTCCTTGACTGGGTTGGAAAGCTTAATAGCACCATCTTGTGGGAATTCCTGGGCAGTATTTATCAAAGATAAATGGACATAATTTCAAAAACATGATGTATGTAGAGCATGCAGCACAATACAAGGCAGATGAACAGAAATGGAAGCATGCAGGGAAAAGGTGACCATTGTGCAAAATATGACTATAGAAGAAGGATAAAGAAACAAGAATGGGGAGCCAATGAGGAGAGAGCAAAGGTCTTACAACGAGAGGTAA